CCCCAAGTCTATGAAGGATTGCATAAGCAGTATTACTCATAAATCAGAGCTAGAACTTGGTCCCAGGTTTGCCTGATCCCAAATCCATATTCTCATCTACTATCTGTCAGGCCCTGGGCAAGACATGAAAGGTGAAATGATAAGTGAAGCCAGGTCCCATCCCTACTCTCAAAGGGCCACAAGCACCCATCATAACATCCCCAAATTAATGTTCAAGTTCTGTGCTCTGAAGAGAAAGGCACTGATGCCAGGGGAGTCAGTCGGGCTCCGAGGGTCCAGTCTCTATATCCAATTCATCTGTGTGCCTCAGCCCTAAACCTCAGGTCTACACAGAGGGGTTAATCACTGCATGCCTCTTTACCCATCAGAGCCATTCTGGCTTCCCTGTTATCTTCCTTCCAGGTCCACTTGGCCCAAAGTAACTTCACAGCACTTCCTGGCCAGTGTTTCCAAAAGCCTTTTTAGGTCTCCCGTGGCTCTCCTGAAAGTGTAGCGATGCTTCTCTGCTGATGATGAGAGATTCAGACAAGCTACTTAATGATTAAGAGACTAGAAGTGTTCTCTAAAAGATAGGGAAGCATCATTCTTGCTTTGCTCAGCCTGGATTCCCCAGGCAGAGTCAGGGCACTGACGCCACTCCTTGCCTGTTTAGGAAGTAGTGATTGGCCTGGAGAACAGCAGAGCATCTGGGGCCTGTGAGAGCTGAAGGATTGAAAGTGTTTGGACTGTCAAACAATATTGCTAAGTTCATTGAGATGGACAACAAACACTAGTTCAGCATCCCTGGACCATCTCAACAGGTGATGGTTCATACATTAGATCCTCTGGTGTAAATTCTTAGGTCTTGTGGCTTGCAGGATAGATATTGAAAACCACCCATTCATTTCACAGGTGAGAGTTCAGAGATGTAAAATGACTTGGTCAAGGTCTCACAGCTAATAAACAGCAGAGGGACTAAAAGCCTGGGCCCCTTGGATTGTGGTTCATTATTCTTTCCTGGTTAGCATACTATAATATTTGTCATCACCACCACCACCACCACCACCATCATCAGTGACTATGTCTAGGGTTATGTTAAGTGCATCAAGGAGAAAGAAATGCTTTAAGGGTCTGTGGCAGACAGCTGCTGTGGAGCCTATGAAAGCAGTGTCACAATGGATGTGCCCTCAGAATCTTGCTGCTCAGGCATCCTGGACCCTGAAGCCAAGGGGCATGCTGCTATTATGGGCAGAAACCTTGGTGGGTGGAAGACACGTTGCACTTAGGAGAAACCAATTTTCTGCTTCTCATCACTTGGCATCAGGCCTGCCTCCTCCCAGCTTCAGCCAAGCTGCTAGTGAGTTCAGATCAGCCCCTATCAGCCCCTAGGTTAGTGGCGGGGGGAGCTGGCTTCTGCTACTTTGTGGACATCAGTGACCTCTCCCACATTGGGAGCACATACTAGTCTGCCCTGAGGCAGCCTCTGATGTCAGGTGGAGATGAAAGCAATGAGGCACCAGTTGGTCTCCAGCCCTGTCACCCCTGGTTTTTATTAAAGGCCAAAGTCTCAAACATTCCTAATGAGGATAAAAGGCTGGCAAGGTGTGTAGAACTGGGTTGAACCCTGAGACAGAGGCCAGCGCAGAGAGAGAGAGAGAGAGAGAGAGAGAGAGAGAGAGAGAGAGAGTTGAGCTGTGACCCAGCTGGAGCCTCATTCCCACCGGGTAGAGTGGTGGCTATCTGCTCAGGCTGACTGGCTGCTGTTTGTTTACCTCCCACCTCTCGATTTACTCAGAATTCACCTACTTCTCTTGAACAAATACTCCAGTCCTGTGTTACTGCCTGTGAGGTGGAACAACATTCCTTAGTCCACCAAATTTCAGTAGCCAGCTTGACAGCAGGCCCAGGCTCCTACAGCAGAAGCCCCTGGGACTGGGCTTCGACCCCCAGACTCATTTCCTCTCTGAATCATGATGGCATTCTGGGCCAGCTCCTGTTCCTGTCTGGGCCATTGGTGGAGAATGAGTCATTAGGTACAGGGCCTAGGAACTCCACACTGGACCACACATCCAGCACCCACATGTCTCCACAGTCTCGTGGGAAAGGACAGTCCTGCAAACAGAGGGGGTCCCCTGAGCCAGTGCTCCCCTGAGAGAGCCATCCTTGAGAGCTGTTCACAGAGCTCCATTCACCCTGATGGAGCCCATATATCCAAAGCCAATCTCCCAAGTTCATAAACAAACCAGCTCACACTCCCTAAAAGAGATAGCATATGAAAGTGCCACCCTGCTACTATAGCATGGCAATAATGGGGACATGGTGACAGCAAGCCTTTGTTTATTCCCTGTTAGAGGAGCCACAGGGGCTTCCAGGAGTCTTCCCAAGGCCCTACCTTGATCCTAATGTGGATACAGAGAATCCCTCTTGCCAGCATTCTTTCAGCTGTAACACAGTCATCCTTTGGTGCCGGCATCTGCAGCCCCTCGTGTGCGCTGTTTGCTGCCTCCAAAGAGTATGTGGTTAGGCAAGGGTCCTACACCAAAAGGGCCTTTTGTTAACTCCTACATGGTAGGGGAGGGCATGACTAAGGAAGAGAGTGACTTGGTGACTCCCATGAGCTATTCATCAGGTATGGAGTTGTCTAAGCAAAGGGGAGAGGGAGAAAGATTTTTGGCAAAAGTAACTAAAGACAGATAAGTTATGTGGAGCAGAAGTTGGCCTACAGAAGAGAATAAGATGAGGAAGTAAGAAAGAACTCAACCATTGAAGCCCCCAAATTAAGTAGAGTCTTGATTCAGAAGCAGGGAGAGAACTGAAGGTTTCTAAGCAGGGACATTGGCATATGGATGTCTGGCACTAAAGTACTTGCTAGTCATGTGACCCAGGGCAAATTCTTACCTTCAGGAACATTCATTTCCTTCAGTGTGAGGCAGGCATAATGGGAGCACCCACTTTGCGGTGCTATGCTAAGGCTCACTGAAAGAAAGCATCTAAGGACTTAGTAGATGCATGAACAGCGCTGTGTTGGCTCCTGTTACTGAACTTAGTGAGTCTGAATCAGTTTCTGGAACTTTGGGCAGGATCAGACCTAGTGCGCTGTGAAGGGAAATAAGGAGAGATGGATTTCTGCTTGCATCTCACTGGTTCAGTCAGATATATGGTGTATTATCCAGATGTGCCACTGGTCACAGAGATGGAACCCCGGCATGGAAGGGGACAGTGGTGTTCCCACAGTTCCAGGGCATAGGGCATCTTCTGTGCCTCCCCGCCTTGATGAAGGGTCTAGGAAGACAAGGGGCACACCTGAGAAAGATGGGAATCCAGGCCATTAGGTGACCTGGTTGACTGTATGGATGTGGGGACTGTATCTATTCAACCCTGCAGCGCGTTTCCAGTAAGCATACAGAAAATAAGAACAGGCCAGCCCAGGCTGGAGAGATGGCTCAGAGCTTAAGAGCACTTGTCCGTGCACCTGAGTGATTCCCAGCACCCACATGGTGGCTCACAACCATCTGTAACTTCAGTTCCTGGGGGTCTGCACCCTCTTCTGACCTTCATAGGCACTAGGCACACACAGCTGCACATGGACAAAACACACTCATAAAATTGAATAAATAAATCTGGGAGAAGAAGAAGAACCAATCAATGAACAGATGGGTGGAGTCAGGGAACACCT